GGACTCCAGGATCATGACCTGAGCCGAAGGCAGTCGCTTAACCAACTGAGCCACCCAGGCGCCCCACATTTTGGTTTTCTTTATTTAAGTTCTGTTTTATTTATTTAAGTAATCTCTACACTCCACATGGGACTCGAACTCACAACCCGGAGATCAAGAGTCGCATGCTCTTCTGACTGAGCCAGCCGGGCGCCCCGTTTCTTCTTCTTTTTTTAAGTTTTTTCTTTCCACACTTTAATGTACTTTCCCCTCAGGAGGAGGGCTTTGGCAAGTGTTTAAATTTGTCGGAAACAAGAATGCAAAGTGGAACTGGAGCACATCACAGGCTTTGGACCAGAAGTGGCCCACAAGCCACTGGAAGAGATGCCACCGCGCGAGCTGATGGTCACACAGCTTGAGGACCACAAAGCCCAAGCAGGAGAGCGTGCCCAGAGCCAAGGAGATTCCCGAGGAGGCAGTGCCGTAGTGCCTGTGGGCACGCAGGGCCTGGCCCATGGCAGCTGCGATGTGGGCGCCCAGCGTGACCTCAAACCCACAGGGGTGCAGCAGGGCGAGGCCGTAACTGCCCAAGGAGAGACACTTGATGGCAAGGAACAACCTCCCAACCCCTGTCTAGGGAGAGGCACCAGGCCACCAGCCACGCAAAGATGGACAAGGTGAGCCACTGGTGAAGCGGGGCAGTGGGGCGCAGCTGCGTCGCGATCCGCAGCCACCAAACCAGGCCATAGACCAGGGCCATGCCAGCGAAGACATCCTTCAGGTAATGGGCCCTCTGCGCCTCTGTGGGGCGCCCTGGGGCCCTGGCATTTCTCTGTAGCCAGTACACCCCCAGGAGGACGTAGGCCAAGTTAATGAGTTGAAGGGCGTGGCCGGGAAGGCGGGGAGGCTGGCTACGCGGGCCTGGGCACGGCGTTCAGAGCCCACTTGGACGAAGATGCCACCGAACACCCCCCCGTGTAGACGGTGGCCGCGCAGAAGCTGCTGGCCACAGCCCCGTGGAAGAGGGCCTGCCTGGACTCGGGCTTCACATGGAGCCCCCGGGTAGGATTTGGGGCAGCCTCCACTGTCAGTTCAGAATTCAGATAAACCGCTTTTGTAAAACGCGCCTTGGCCTCCCGGCTGAGCCAGCTTCTTCAGCAGGAAGAAGTCCCCATGATTTCTGATGCAGATGCCGCGGCCTTGCCCCAGAGCGGTGGACGCAGGCCAGGGAGAGGTAGCAGTCCTGCCGACTGGCTGGCAGGAGTGGAAGAGCGTTCTGCCTTTTTCCTCTGTGGTTATGAAAAGAGCGTGGTTAGAAAGAAAACCATCCAAAAGGGAGCCTCCATCTTCCCAACTCTCTGCCTTAGGATCCACCAACAGTTTTCATCAGAAGAAAACAGAAATAAAAGTAAAGCAGTACCCACAGTGTGTTCACCTTCTTACTCGTGGCTTCTGGAAGCCTCTAGAATGTTCTCTCCCCTAGGGGTTTCGTGCCCTTCTCTCCTGACCCCCATGCGGTTCTTCTTTCATCTGTGTGCTAGAAAATTCCTGCTCGTTGCCCTAGTTCCCTTAGCGCCACTGCATTTAGAGACTTAGACCTTTCTAAGGTCTCTTGTTACAATTCAGAATGGGCTTTCCCACCTCAGTATCATAAATGTTGACATTTCCAGTCAGCCCCAAGCCCTTTTAACCAAATATCCAGAGAACCAGTATCTAGAGACTGTTAGCTATGGTGAGTTCTGGAATCCAAGGCAAGGGATGGGACAGTGCTAGAGGAGAAGGAGGGGAGGGGGGAGGAGAAGGAGGGGAGGGGGGAGGAGAAGGAGGGGAGGGGGGAGGAGAGGACGGCGGGGGGAGGACAAGCCTCTCCCCTCTGCTTCTCAGGTGCAAGGCCAGGCGGCACAGGCAGCCGGCCCCCGGGCCTGCTACCCGGCCTATAGCCCTCCTGCCCTCCCCTGAAGTGGCCACACTGCCAAGTTGCCTTCCTTCCATTTCCTGCAGTCACAGAAGCAGACCATGGGAAAACCATGGGCACTTATCACTGACTGTCAACTGCTGTGGTGTGAGGTGGCCTAGTAGCCGAGAAAGGTATTTCCATCGTAGGGAGAAAAGGTTCAGGGCTCTGAAAATGAAAATGACTCAAAAGCCAAGAGGGCGGCAGGTGGGGTTGAGAGGGACTGTCTGTGTTCAAACTCCGGCTCCCCCCACCTTCTAGTTGTGTGACCTCAGCCCTGAACCGATCTGGGCCTCAGTTTGCATACCCGTCCCGTGAGATGCTGCCAGGGCCTCCCAGCGGAGGATTAAGTCAGCTCTTATACATGAGGACCGCCGCACAGTGTTTACTTCTGAGGCATCACAATGCCCATACCCGCTCCGGCCATTTAGGCCTGGAAAGGGCAGAGTGGGGTGTGACTCTCTGCTCTCCTTCTTGCTCAGTGAGTCCCTGCTCAATTCCAATTCAATTCAGTTCGCACACCAAGCCAGCACCTCTTCTCTTCTTCCTCATGCTTCCACTGGCACATTACCATTTCACTTCTCACCTGGGCCCTGGGCATCCACCTATACTCTCTGGGGAGGGAGCTGCCGAGCCTCCCACTGAGCTTTCTTGTTCCCACCCTGCCTTGGGGGCCCATCGTTCGGGAGGACCATAAGGCCCAGCATTTCCACCAGTGAACTAAAGCACTCACCCTGACTCTGCATCTCCTCATTGACTATAAGCCTCCTTCTCAGCTTGTGGCTGTGTCACACGCCTCCCCTTGGGCATTCACCTCATGTCTATGAACGAGCTTCCAGGTCCAGGTTGGCGGGGGTGGGGGGGACTGCCCCCACCCCCCGCCCTGGGGTTCCCATTTCCAGGCTGGCCGCTGCTAACGTGGTCTGCGCACAACAGCCCCCCACATCTTCCTCAAGTACCGCTGGGCTGGATGGTGCCAGTCCCCAGTTAACACCGTTCCGTGGCTGGCTCTCCACGCCATGCATGATCACGTCCCAGTCTCCAGGCCACACGTCAAAGTGCCATCCCCACGGAGCCCTGAAAGCTCCCTAGGCCCAGTCTGTCCTTCAGCTAGAATGAGATCCTGCTGTCCTCATTCCCTCCTGCCTCAGGTCTGCTAACACTTTCAACTCGGCCTCCCCATTCAGCTCCTGACTCCAGCTGGGACACCTCACCTGCACCTCTCTGGGGCCTGGCTCTGTGGCATGAAGTGCCAGGCCTTTGGGACCTCCTGTCTGCCCGCAAGCATGGATGAGAGCCGGGGACAGGAGTCAAATACTGTCAACTTATTACAGAAGGAGGTCCGGGAAGGGCGTGGAAAATGACTCCTCTCTCTGGCTGCTGGGCAGAGTCCATCTGAGCCCTTGTGCAAGCTCAAAGTGACATGTCATTAAACCACCTTCCTGAATCCACCAATACGACCAGGCTGGGTACTTTATAGCCAACCTCCTCCGCACACCTGAACTGTCATGACCCTTGCTACACGACACAGATTCCCCCAGCATCTCGCACATGAAGGCCAGAGGCTCAACAGCATTGGCCTGCAGTTCTGGGGTCTTTTGGGGGAAGTCCTCCAAAGGATGACAATATCCTGGCTAAGGTGTTAACACATGTTCCTTAGACTCTCCTGCTTCCTGGGGCTATATGCATTTAAGCAGGAGGCACTGTCAGCAATCACAGTGGTGGCTTCTTTCCTGCAGCATTTATGACAACCGCTTGTTGTGTCCCTGACTATCCTGACCACCCTCGCTGCCTTTCTGCAGATGAGGGGATGCCAGCCGCAGGGCTGTAACATGCGACACCCCCAGCAAGGTGAGGCCAGTCTGGGCCACCCGGATACCCAAGAAGCCTGGAGCAACTCCAGTGATTCCTGAACTCTAGGGAGAGAATTGCTGAATTCAGGCACGGCCCTTGGAAACCAGCAGCTCACCTTCCTTATTTTACAGGGGAGGGACTTGGGGCCATAGACATGAGGTGAATGCCCAAGGTCATTTAGGGCAGTTGGTGGCACAGTCATTTACAGGGGAGGGCTCTTGTCCTTTGGCTGTCACAGGTCTCTTTGGCCTTTCTCAAAGAAACGCTTCCAAATGCATAAAAACAGAGAGTAACAACATAAATTTAATATGTTTAAAGATGGTATGGAAAGAGTTTCGGAAATGTGTGATTCGGTAATATATGTGCTACTTTACTAGTAAATGAAATTACAGAATCTACGGGCAGATTGCAGCTACAATAATTTCAAAGTCGTTCTTCTGCCTGCTGGTAAGTCTTGTATTTTAGTTAATTTCAGGATAACTACAACAAAAGCTAAATGATCTGAAATGATCTGTCACTTCCATTGGTGACAAAGTCACCAGGCTAACACTCTGTGCTCTGTAGCCTACATTCGTAATTGCAGGAAAGGCCAAATTTCGACTATCAGTTGGTGAAAATAAAGATAAAACAAAGCTGAGAGAAAGTGGGAAAACCATCTGTTGTGGCTCCAAGCTCCCAGACACCTGCGCAGGACCCCTGCACTACAGCCTGAGTCTGACAGTGCAGACGACGGCGCAGTGCCCGGGCGGCCTCTTGCAAGATTTGGCACATGGAGCTGATGCCAGTACCCACCTCTCAAGGTTGCGGCGAGATCTTACAGTATTGGCGCGAAAAGGCCAGTGATCACCATCCGGGTACTTCCCTCTCTATATTTGCTGGGGGAAATTCAAATCTCGAAGGGCGGACCCGAAAAGCGGCCCTGCGCCTGCGCGTAGGGGCGGGGCGCGGGTCTCTGGGAAGCAGGCGGGGCGGGGTGACGCGAGGTGACGCGGGGCGACGCGGAGCTCTCCCGCGCCCTCCCGCTCGGCTCGGGGACCGCCGGCCTGGCTGCCCGCCCTGCGGCCGGCAGAGCGGGGGACGGGAAGCGGTCCCGGGCGCACGGCCTGGCTCCTTTAGTTGGAGCGCCGGCGGTGGCGCCGGCTCCCGGGGGCGGAGCCGGCGAGCCTGGGAGCCGGCACGTCACCGCCCACTCGCCCCGCCTCCGACTCCCCCCCCCCCCGCCAGCCCCGGCGCGTCTCGCGCCGTTTCTCCCGCGGTCGCTGGGTGTGGGGATTGGGAATATATCCGCTCTCGAGGCGCAATTCTGTTGTCTCCCTTCAGCCTCTCTCAGCAGTCTATGCCTTGTCCCCACTGCTAGTTAAATGCAACTCCTCGGGCGTGTGTTCCTTCAGCGACCTGGAGTACTGTTCCCAAGGGGGCGGGACAAGCTCGTTTGAGGTATTCTCATCCGGGCATTCACCAGATGCCTCAACCGCCATCTTTGTTTTGTGCTGAAAGTCGCTATTGACGCCCGTGGACGGCCGGGCGAGGGGAAGTGGCAAGATGGCGGCTCCCAGGGCGGAGGCGTGAGGGCGCAATGGGGGGGTTGGGCCGCAGGGCTGGGCGCGCCTGCGCCTGACCCGAGAGCGGCCTGAGCCCAAGCTTAGCGCGCGGCGGACCTGGGCCCTTGCCGCGAGGCAGCGCGGGGGTCCTTTAAGAGGCCTCGGCTCACGGAGCGGCCGTGCGAGGGCGGGGGTGGTGGTGGGGGGGAAGAGCAGTGACGTCGTCCGACTCCGCCCCCTCGCCCGACCGCCGCTGCCGCCATGTTTAGTTGTTACTTCTTCACACAAGATGGCGGCTCCCAGGGAGGAGGCATGAGCGCCCTGCCGTTACCGCTCCTCCTGCCGTACAGTTGCCACTTCGGGGCCTAACTCTGGCTCTTTGGAGCGGCTCCTGTGGGAAGGAGTCATAAGGAGGGAAGCGAGGATCGGACGCTGCCTTGCGTTTGGTTTGCAGTGGAAGAACTGACCCAGGAGGAAGAGAATAGGGGGGAAGGGGGAGTTAGTCTCAAGATGGCGGCTCCCAGGGCGGCAGGCGCAGTCTGAGCAGCAGAGGCGGACTCGAGGGAGAGGTTCGAGACCTCACGAGCTGTACGGCGCGAGTCTCCGAGCATTCAAGTTCGTTCCATTGGCCTCCGGCGCGCCTCTGTCCCTTACGAGTGTCGAGGCTGTTTCGGGAGCGGAGGCTGCACTAAGCGCTGGGCGGGGAAGCGGGACGGTCTCAAGATGGCGGCTCCCACAATTGTGGTGTGAGCGCCGGCGGGGCTGGGACAACCGCGGTGCTTGTGGCTCCTTTCCACCCGCCCCGGAAGCCGGCCAGTGCAGGGGACTTGGGGGGTGTGGGAACCGGGCCGGGGCTCCGCCATTTCCGGCGGGGGAGGGCTACGACTGAGGAAGGGAGGAGAGAGAGGCGGCTCAAGATGGCGGCTCCCAGGGCCTCCCGCCCGAGCTTGTAAGCGGGAGCGCCCGAGCGAGTAGTCAGGGCGGCGGGACTTGGCGGCCTCCAGCTTCTCGGGGCTAGGCGCTCGAAAGTTTCGGGAGGCTCTTGAAGAGACGCGGTGAGCTAGAAGAAGGGGAAGAGCCGAAGGGAAGGAGGGTAGTTAAGATGGCGGCCTCCATGGAGCCGTCCACCGCTGTGTGAGGAACCGCTTCTCCGTTGAGAGCTACCTTAGACGAAAGGGGGTGTGTGAGAGAGGAATTGGGGGGTTCCCTTCCCGCTTGGTGACTTTTTCCCACTGCGGCCTTTCCCGGAACTATGGCTTCGGCCGTGTCGCCCGCCAACTCGCCAGCGGTTCTCCTGCAGCCCCGCTGGAAGCGAGTGGTGGGCTGGTCGGGTCCAGTGCCCCGGCCCCGCCACGGCCACCGAGCCGTGGCCATCAAGGAACTCATCGTGGTGTTTGGCGGCGGGAACGAGGGGATAGTGGACGAACTGCACGTGTACAACACGGGTGAGTGCAAAGCCCGCTGGGTCCTGGGA